GGGGTAATATTAATACTATGCACATGGTCACCTTGACCTAATTACGTATAACTTACACATCAGAGTACATACAACCACTCTCCCTCTTGGATATATGATCAACCTTTCGGGTATATGTTCTTCAGGAGCAAGTATATACGCCCCAGAATAAAAATTTCGTAATTTTTCACACAGAAGTCTGGGTCCATTTTACCCGCTAAATATGTACCGATTTTTATCAAAACAGGCGAATTCATGCAAAATTTCGTGAAGATTGGTCCATAACTGTGGCCTGTATCGTGTTTACAAATTATAATGGATAGACGGACGGACGGACACACATGTCCAGATCGACTCAGCTAGTCGAGATATGACGATCGGTAAACTTAAAGGTGGGTCTAGGACCAATATTTTGAGGCGTTATAAACTTTTGGAGCTGCGCAAAGCTATAATACTCTGACAACATAGTTGTGTTGGGTATAATTATTAAAAACAAAAAAGATTTAACCATTTATAATCCTTCAGTCTTTTATGGACTACCATGTACGTAATTAAGAAGTTTGAAATACACATAACATGGTGGAGGGTATAAAAGTTTCGAAATTTAAAATTTTGTTTCAAAACTTCGAATATTTTTTTGTTGTTGCAAATAAAAACCGTGAAGGGTTCTGACAATAAAATTCCTGGTCTGATCACCCATGTAGATTGATTTTTACGTGGAATGATTTAATGACGGAGCAGTTGCACCAATAGCGCATCTTTATTCCGAACATCATGAAGAAGTGAAAATAAGGAGATAATGAGAATATAATTCAACACATCAGAAATGAAATAATACAAGTGTAATTTAATAATCTCATGTTTTTGTTTTTATTAATAATAATCAGGAAAGCCCAACCTATTCTATCTTAAGTGCTTTAATTTATTTCAATATTATCCCCTTTACAATTTTAATTTTACTTCCAAATGTTTTTATTTGTTCATTCCATTCACGCACAATGAAAACTTATTGTTTTCTTCAAAATAACACAACAACTAAGTTCAAAAGCTAAGATTAAATAGTTACTTGGATTGTCAAATTTGATGGCGGGGTTAATGAACCACGTAGGTATCAAACTGTCTTCTTGAACTGAATAACAAGACGCACATTGTATTTGCCTTACATGGTGGTTTGTTGAGCAGATTAAAAGTAAAAAAGACAACAACAACAAAAATCGAAAACTCAATATACCTTTTTTAGGTCATTGCAGAACAAAAGAGATGAGCCGCTTATAGAATGATAAACTTGCTATCGTTTCAACAAAATAGAAAACCCCCTCAAAACGAAAACGAAACAAAAAAACTAATGACGTCAAAAATTTTGTAATGATTTCATTGTGGCAGTTGTGTGAGTGAATTTGTATGTATGTATATGCGTTTGAGTGATTTATGTTAAATTTGTTATAAATTTCTTCTTCTATTTGTTCACTATATTCTTTACATTGTGTTCCAATTAATCACTGGTCATCAACAGCATCGATGCAGGCATACATGTAGATGAGTTGATGTGTGTGGTTAAATTACATATGTATGTATAAGTGTATGTAGTCTATATTGAGATACAAACACAATTTGCCATCTTTGTAGTTGAATGTCAAATAATTCAATTGATCTCTACACTTTTGGTATGAGAATATGTCAAAAGTAATTTTGTTTAATGATTGACAATAGGGGTATTCACTTAAATGCCAATATTAGAAACGAACTCTATACGTGTGCCTAATTTTAGGAATTTTCAGAGTTCTAGGCGAATAACTAACTGAAGTGACTGGTTATTGGTTGTACCCACTACTTCTTCACAAAAATGTTCAGTATTTGTTTGCCATTGTCCCCATACAAGATTCCCGTCACCTTTTTCCCGAATTTTTCAATTGTATAGGTCGCCCTAAATTCAATATTAATAAACCCCACGCTATACGCCGAAGGTAACTATAAATTCAATAAATTAATAGATTGCCCCTCAAAATATATTATTGAGTAATCCTGGCCTATGAATAGTCATTTAAAAAGTTCCTAAAAATCCATTCCTAGAGATAGTCTTAAAAAATATGTTAATACCAGTGAGAGGAGAAGTATTGTCGGACGGGGCCGACCATATGATACCCTACACAACTAACACGGAACTCTAATTTTCTGCGGATTTTTATTCCGAGCCTGGGAAATATTTCGTGATAGTTGCATCCTGTTGCCCGATTAGAAATAAACTGCACCTCTCCCTTACACTGACATATATTCCAAATATTATTACTATTCAGTACAGCCCTTCTAATTACTTGTCCAGATTGCATTCACGGTGGTTTGTGTTCAACTTTCAATTGTGGCCTATAGATCGACTCGAAAAACAAAAACACAAAATTAAGTTTTTGGTCCAATTCATCCCAAAATTATTATTCGATCATCACCGAAAAAAACACAAAAAATTAAGTTTTTGGTCCAATTCATCCCAAAAGTATTATTTGATCATCACCGAAAATTATAGCCGTTGTCCTTGGCCATACGTGGATCCTCATGGAAAATTTAAAAGCGATCAGCGCTATATTTCCGCCCTCTAGTGTGGTAATGTGTTACTAAATAAAATATGAATACATAAGCACCTGTAAATATGTAAGTGTAACTCACACATCCGAGTACATACGACAATATAATTGGTATCAATTCCTCTCCACTCCTCTTTGATATACTATCAATTTATCGGGTCTACGTCCTTCAGGAGTAAATATATACGCTCTAAAATACAAATTTTGTAATTTTTCACACAAAATTCAGGGTCCATTTGACCCGCTAAATATTGACCGATCTTTATCAAAACAGGCATGCTTATTCTTTGGCCCAATCCCCTTCTCCTTGTAAAAATTCGAGGTGTTTTGGCCATAATTGCGGCCCCTGGAGCGACCAGAAAAACCGACAAAAATTTAGTATTTGGTCCATTTCATCCCCTATATATTAACAGATCTTTACCAAAAACAATAGGGGTCTTCATTGGCCAGAACACATCCTACATGCAAAATTTCGTGAAGATTAGTCCATAACTGTGGCCTGTATCGTGTTTACAAATTATAATGGACAGACGGACGGACACACATGTCTAGATCGACTCAGCTATTCGAGATATGACGATCGGTATACTTAAAGGTGGGTCTAGGACAAATATTTCGCGGCGTTACAAACTCTTCGGGCTGCACAAAGCTATAATACCCTGACAACATAGTTGTGTAGGGTATAAAAATTAATATTCTTAGAAACTACTTTTTTAGTAATAATTTATAAACTAGGCAGCGGAGCAATATATTTGAACGAGGCCCTGCGGGTATATAAGGTTGGCGAAAAATAAATGCATTATTTTTTCGACAGATGGCTGTACTGATAGATTTTAAGTATCGATCAAACAATCGTTAAGCATCGATCAAACAATTTCAGATTTATGCTCTTTGGAAGTAAAAAAATATTTTGCTGTTTTTTGTTTGGTGCATTCAGTTGTGAGTTACAGGGTTTTAAAAATGGAGCTGAACAATGGGAAAACTCAGTACATATTACAGTTTTTCTTTGACAAAGGCGAAAATGCAAGCCAAGCGGCTAAAATTGTGAATGGTGCTTATGCTTTCGATACTGTAACAACCAATTATGTGCAATTTTAGTTTCGTAGATTCCGTTCAGGAATTTTTGATGTTAAAGATGCACCTCGTACAGGTAGGCCGGTCGTCGAAAATTTCGATTAAATAGGAGCTAACGTTATATGGAGGTATGCAGAAACGGGGGTACCCTGGTATTGAGTAATAACAATGCACATATGTACATAATTTCAAAGCGATATCTTAAATATTTCGAACTCGTTCATAATTCAATTAATTCTTAACCAAATTCGAAGAACCTTTATACTTGCTATTATTTGACAAATATGTTTTTTATATTTTTTATTATAATAACTTTTGTTGCTATTTTATTATATGCCAACTTTTAGTGAATACCCTTATTACTTTAATTATTACTGTTTTTTTTGTTTTCAAAATTGTTTATGTCATTTGCCTGTGTATGTTTTGTTTTTGTTGTCTCCGCCAAGTAGCCAGCCATACAATAGAACGTCTGTCTATCTGTGGCTTTGTTTGATTATATATACATACATACGTATGTACCCTAATGATTTGCCCCCACATTGTGATAAATAAATTGAAATGGGAAAGAAAGAAAGAATACGACGAAAAAACACAATTTGTATATACAATTTATAGATATATGTATATTATACACTTAAATTTATTACATACATAAATACATAATTTCACATAGACCTTCATGATCCAAAAATAATGAAATACTCTTCAAAACAAAACAAAAAATAATGACAAAATAATAAAAAAAGAATACATCATCAAAACAATTGCTCTCTTTGCTTTTGTGTGGCGTTCTGTTTTTAAATTTAGATACAAATAAAAAATTAAGCTATGTTACTTTTTTAAATAATATTTTATATATAAAAATGATTTAATAATAACAGCAGTATCGTTTTTTTGTCACATTAAATTGTTATTTTTGTTAATGTTTGGGTGTTTTTTTTTATTTTACAATATTTCTATTTGTTTAAAACTTATAAATAATATTACAAAAAATATTAATAATTGCATTTTCTTTTCTCCTTGTATGAATGTGAAGCCGTCCCCCACCCACCACAGGTCATGTTTGCTGTTAGTGTGGGGGGCCATTTTTGTTAATTTGTTTTTCATTTTTTCATTCTATCTAGAGGAAGTTCTCAACTTCCTTTGTTCTCCACTACAGATAGTTTACGAAGAGATTTTGTTTTTGTGTTGTTCCATTCATTTTATGAACTTGGGGGTTTTGTTATTGTTGTTAATTGTCGTTTGCACTTCGTCATATCGTTTTATAATACGTTTCCTTCTTCTTCAACATCATCGTGATTTGCTTCATAATAAATTAATTTAGAAATTCTTCGTTTTACTTCTCTCCCCCTTCCCTCTGGGTGGAACATTTTAGAGAATTGTACATCTACGCTTCTTGGGGGCTCTCATCACTGGACACAATACCGAACGTATGGCTTCATCGAATACTGTTTTCAGGCCCTTTTGAGTTAAGGCAGAACATTCCAAATATTTGACAGCACCAATTTCCTTGGCCATTGCCAAGCCTTGGGGATAGGTAATCGGTGTTAGTTTTTTATCCTTGAGCTTTTCAATGGTGGACTTATCGTCACGTAAATCGAGTTTGGTACCAACCAAAATAATGGGTACATTGGGACAGTGGTGACGCACCTCGGGATACCATTTGGCACGTACATTCTCAAATGAGGCCGGGTTAACGAGTGAAAAACAAATGAGGAACACGTCCGTCTGGGGATAGGAGAGGGGTCGCAGACGATCGTAATCTTCTTGGCCAGCCGTATCCCAGAGACCCAAATTTATGGGTTTGGCATCGACCATTACATTGGCCGAATAGTTGTCGAAGACAGTGGGTATGTATTCACCGGGAAAGGCATTTGTGGTGTAGCTAATCAAAAGGCAAGTTTTACCCACAGCACCATCACCTACTACCACACACTTGATTGCTTGCATATTGTTGGTGTTGTTGTTGTTGTTGCTACTACGTTTGTTTGATTTTTAATCCAGTCGTTTCTATTTCAATTCTGGCCAATTATCCAGTTTGGTGTGCAAAAAAAAAAAACTTGTAGCTCAGGTTGTTTATTTTTGGCTTATCACTGATTACACAATCGTTTTTGTTTTTTCGATATCACACAAATTTAGTTCCAATATTTATTAATATTTTTACTTTCAATATTTTGTTGTTGTTTCCTTTTGTGTATGCCTTTTTTCAGTTTTAATTAATGCAAATAAATGTTGTTGTTTTTGCTTCGGTTTTTTGTGGTGTTTTATCTTTGTTTTTCTTTTATTATATTTCTTTTTTCCGTTTATCGGTTACTGCTGCATTATTCATTTGGCGTTACATCCGTCAGATAGTGAAAACAAGACAAAAAAAAAATCCGAATAAAACAATGCCGCAAATACGGACTCTACCAAACACACCCAATCAATTTGAAATCACTGCATTAACTAAGGCCCCCATACACAATCCATGGGCAAGAGCATTGCAAACTCATGGATTAATGCCCACACCAAAGAATGTATCTCTCAGATACTTTTTTCCAATCGTACTGTAGTAGATCTTGTTACTCAAACCAAGCAAATACACGTTCTTGCTCTTTCCTCCAACAGCAGTCATATGGAATGTTTACATTTTGTAAACACCAACTAGCTCTTTCTCTCATTGATCATTGCATCTCCCACTATAGTTAGTGGTGTCTTTTTCTCTACTCTCACTTTGTGTGTGTGTGTTTTTTTTTTCATTTATTCTCTCTACCACTCTCTCTTGCAAATAATTGTTGAGATGTTTTAATTGAATGACTCATAATTTCTTTTCATATTGTGCACCACTTCACACACAGTTGCTTTATTTATTGATGACGTTGTTTGGCAGACTTTTCCCTCAATTATCAAAGAAAGAAAAAAAACAACAACTCACTTGCTTTGTTCTCTTTCTCTCTCCCACACATCCCACCACTCAATTGTTTCTTTCTCCTAACCAAAAAACTACTCACTCACTTGCTGTTTCACTTTGTGTTTATGACTCCGTGGGTGACCTTGTTTGTGTGCGACTTTCCCACTTATGGAAAACATCTGCCGGTCTGAGCCGTTGCTGGCCGTCCATCCGTCCGCCTGTCGATTTAATTGTTTATCTGTTTATGGCGGAATGTTGTTGTTCAAGACCACATAGTTTTAGTTAAAATTTATAGCATGCGAGAAATTAGTTTAATGTAGGTTGTGTGTTGTTGTTCTCTGGTGTGTTCTAATTCCATTGAATTCAATTGTTAAATGCTTATAGTGGGAGGTAATAAAATAGCATAGACGATTTGTATACCTTTCGTTGAAATGTTGATATTAACAACAAATAGCACTCAAGGACTATTGAATCGTGAAGAAAGAGGTACAAAAGAAAAATTAAATCACAGGGGGTAGAACAATAATGAACTTGAAACGCTTGTTAAAGGATTATCATCTTTGATAATATCAAATGCGTTCTTTGGCATTCTCAGTAGGGTAGCGATGGCAATAGTAAATGGCTTGGGTTGAAATAGGAAAATTCCGAGAAATTTTAGATTATTTTTACGATTTGTATCAGTTTTTTAAGACAAATAAATTGAAATAATCGGACATTGGAATAATAATGATAATGATAATTTCAAAAGATTTTGAAAAAAATTACTTATTATAATTACTTACAATAAATTATGAATATTTGAAAGAAACTGAAAAAAATACACCAATATTAAATAAAGATTTTTTTTGTAATTTTTATACCCACACAACTATGTTGTCAGGGTATTATAGCTTTGTGCAGCCCCAAAAGTTTGTAACGCCGCGAAATATTGGTCATAGACCCACCTTTAAGTATACAAATCGTCATATCTCGACTAGCTGAATTGATCTAGACATGTGTGTCCGTCCGTCCGTCTATCCATTATAATTTGTAAACATACAAATACAGGCCACAGTTATCGAACAATCTTCAAGAAATTTTGCATGTAGGATGGGTTCTGGCCAATGAAGACCCCTATTGTTTTTGGTAAAGATCGGTTAATATTTAGGGGATAAAATGGACCAAATACTAAATTTTTGTCCGTTTTTCTGGTCGCTCCAGAAGCCGCAATTAGCGGGTCAAATGGACCCTGACTTTTGCGTGAAAAATGACAAATTTTGTATTCTATACCGTATATATTTTGAAGGACATAGACCCAAAATGTTGATAGTATATCGCAGAGGAGTGGTTGTCCTTTAAATCGATACCAATTATATTGTCGTATGTACCCGGATGTGGGAGTTACACATAAATATTTACAGGTGCTTAAGTATTCAGACATTATTTAGTAACCCATTACCACACTGGATGGCGGAAATGTAGCGCTATTCGTTTTGAAATGTTTCATGAGGTCTCAGTTATGGTCAAGGACAACGCTTATAATTTTCGGTGTTCATCAGATAATAATTTTGGGATAAAGTGGAGCGAAAACTTAATTTTTTGTGTAAATTGGAGTCGATCTATAGGCCACAACTGATAGCCGAACTTCACAACACAAAGGGAATCTGGACAAGTAATTAGAAAGGCTGAGCTGAATATTAGTAATATTTGTTTACCTCTAGTCCGTCAAGAGGGTGCAAATATCGCGAAATATTGCCCAAGCTCAGAACATAAAATTACAGAAAGTTAGACTTTCCTGGATGTGTGTAGGGTATCATATGGTCGGCCCCGTCCGAGTATATATAGACTAAGTCCGGCAAAAATATACGAAGTAAAAAAACGTTAAGTTCGGTTTGCATTTAAAAGTTTTTTAAATGGCCGTGACCTTTTGATTTGGCAACTTCATTGTATTCTTAGAGACTTAAATATTAAATTGCAGACACTAAGGCTGTAGTAGATATTACACTAAGGTTTCAATTTACGTATATTTTGAAAGTGCCTTAAGTCCATTTTAGGTTCTGATACAAATCTTGGTTTTGTAGAAAAGTTTACAAAACATATTACGTTATATATTATATCATGTATAAGGCGCAAAGTCACAAACAATATTAATTCCACTTAACAATATTTTTGAAAAAAATCAAAATGAAACTTTAAAAAAATCCACTTACACCAATATCAAAATAAACGATTCAGAATATAAAATTATGCAAAATGCGGCTAGAATCTTAATAATATAAAAACCAGTGAGCGGAGCTGTATAGTCGGACGGGGCGAACATATATTACCCTACACAACGTCCACGACAATCTAACTTTCTGTGGCAATATTTTCCTATATTTGCACACTCCTAACCGATTAGAGATCAACCAATATTACTAAAATTCAGTACAACCCTTTTAATTTCTTGGCAGTATTCCCTTTGCCGTGGGTTGTGTTGCGATGTTTGGCTTTCAATTGTGGCCTATAGATCGACTCGAAAGAGATATAAAAAATTAAATTTTCGGTCCAGTTCATCTCAAAATTATTATCTGATCATCACCGAATATTATAGGCGTTGTCCTTGACCATACATGGACGCTCATGGAAAATTTCAAAGCGATCAGAGCTATATTTCCGCCCTCTAGTGAGGTAATGGGTTACTATATAATATCTGAATACTTAAGCACCTGTAAATATTTAAGTGTAACTCCCACATCCGAGTACATACGACAATATAATTGGTATTAATTTAAAGGTCAACCACTGCCCTTGGATATACCAACAACTTTGCAGGTCTTTGTTCTTCAGGGGTAAATATATACGCTATGCAATACATATTTTGTAATTTTTCACACAAAAGTCAGGGTCCATTTGACTCGCTAAATATTGGCCGATCCTTATCAAAACAGACATGCTTATTCTTTGGCCCGATCTCCTTCTCTATGTAAAAATTCGCGATGTTTGGGTCATAATTGCGACCTCTAAAGCGACCAGAAAAACCAAAAGTAAGTATTAAGTATTTGGTCAATTTCATTCCTTAGATATAAACTGATCTTTACCAAAAACAATAAGAGTCTTCATTGGCCAGAACCCATCCTACATGCAAAATTTCGTGAAGATTGGTCCATAACTGTGGCCTGTATCTAGATCGACTCATCTAGTCGAGAGATGACGATCGGTATACTTAAAGGTGGGTCTAGGACCAATATTTCGCAACGTTACAAACTCTTGGGCCTACACAAAGCTATAATACCCTGACAACATAGTTGTGTAGGATATAAATACACCAAAATAAAATAAAGATTATTTTTTTATTTTTGACAAAATACACTAAGTAATAAAAACTCGTTAAGTTCGGTTAGCATTAAAAATTTCTACAAATCTTGGTTTTATAGAAAAGTTTACAAAATATATTTCGTTATATATTCTATCATGTTTAAGGCAAAAGCCACAAACAATATTAAGGTAGCTCATCTCGAAAGAGAAATTAATAAAAAAACATTTAAATGAATGATCCTTCGCCCTAAAAAGGCATAAAAACAAAACTCAAAAATTCAGCTTGAGCCCGGCTGGGATTTGAACCCTGGTTCCCATGGCATCTGTTGGTGTTCGGCGCTTTAGCGTTCAAAGCCACCTCCTTATCTTCCTAATGTTGCACAATATGCAGTTGCATGCCATTGAAGAAAAATGTTGTAGTCTGTATGGAAAAAAAGTCCGTCACTACAAGAAAAATCTGCTCTGAAAAGGAATGTTCCGGTGTGATGCTAAATGTCCGAACCTTGACACGGTTGAATTTAATTCGTAGATGCAATTTCGCAACAATAGTCGACATAAATACAACTTATCAAGTAAAGAAATTTGTAAGCCACATTGCCCACTATGCCTGATGAGCCGCTTAACCAACGCCGAAACGCGCCGCATAGTGGTGGGAATGTAGTATCTCTCTGGCTTTCCTTTTCATTGCAACTCCGATCATGTAGCTCATCTCGAAAGAGAAATTAATAAAAAAAACATTTACATGAATGATCCTTCGCCATAAAAAGGCATAAAACAAAACTCAATATTAAACCTTAAAATTTATC